TCATATTATCAAACTAGTTAGTTTCTCTCTGGATTTCTCCACCTGGGATTCTGGGAGCCAGAGGGGGCCAGGGAACTGAGGTCTGGGCTCATGTCAGTAGGAAGGCCAAGTCTAGATTCCCTTCCCTTCAGAGAATGCTGGTAGCCTCTCCCAGTTTCCAGCCAATCAATCCACCATGTTTATTGCCCTTATGTGCTGGATGTTTAAAGCACTTTGTTAGGGCTGCAGGAAAGGTCAGAAAGACACCCAGAGTTGCTTCCCAGAGTGTGCCATGTATCTATGCATGAGACATCCTGAACAGTGCAAAGCAGTGGCAGATTGGCAAATTTTCCTTGGAAAGGAGCTCTAAGGGAGCAGAGGAAGAAAGAAGACCTTGTGTGGGGTCAACAGCACAGGCTTCTGGGAAATGGTGAGCACCTTAAAGGGGAATGAGTTGGGGGAGGTCAAAAGGAGTGGGAGGGCAGCCCCATAGAGAAGTGGGGATGTTGCGAGCCAAGAAGTCACAGGAAGAACAAGAAAGGATGGTGGGCCAGACCTGAGCAGACCCTTCCGTCTGGACTGGTCATTTTCTATTGTGACAAGGAGGAAGATAGGGCTGGAGCACATGTGGGTGCAGGCTGCAAGGCCTAGAATGCCAGGTGAGGGAGTTTGAACTTTCACTTCAAGGCACTGGGAGCCAGCAAAGGTGTTAGGAGCAGAGAGTGCCAGGGTGGAGCCAGTGAATGCCCTACTATGATTGGAGGTGTCAGGGAGTGAGGCAAGACTGCAAGCAGAAGGTAACTCTGAGTAGGGGCTTGTGTGATCACTGGGATACAATATGCTCACTTGTGCAATGTCCTCAGAGTGGTGAGACTTCTTGAAGGTAAAGGAGAACTGTGAATTGAGCCGTGTGCACATTTCATTTTTGTTTTTGGAAGGGGTGGAGTCCTGAGTCCTAGGATCTGAGCTGTCTGTTGGTGGAGGCTGTCCAGACTGGGGCAGCTCAGAAAATCCAGTTTTCCCCGTCCACAGGGAGTTGGGTGGTAGCCAGAGACCAGTGGGCGGAAGGAGGGAGAGAGGAGCTGCAGATTTTGTGGCCACGGTGGCAGGGTTCAGCATCAGGTGACATTCCAGTAGGTTCTGCCCAAGGGCCACTTCCGGGTACATTTCCAAAGGGGTCATCCATGGGCAGCCAGTGGTAGGAAAAGGGCCAAGGACTATCTTAGAAGTTGAGTTCAAACAGCAAGTCTGCAAAGCCTAAGAGAAAAGGCTATTTGACCATCGCTGCAGCCTGGCCAGTATTGGTTAACAAGGAGCCTGGGGACAAAGAGAGGTCAGATGCAAAATCTGTTTACCAGACCATGGTGAGGCACCCAGCCACCCAGCACAGGATTCCAGGCACCTACCTGTCAGCCAGCCAAGAGCCCAACCCTCAGCTCAGCAAGGGGCTCGTCTCGATTCGTTGGTTTCAGAGATGTCAGCTCTGAGTCCAGGCTGGAAGGCAAACACACACAAACACCTAGGAAGGGGAAGCAGAGGTCCCACTCCCTAGAGGAGGAAAAGGCTTCTGCAAACTGTCACTATGACCTAGGCTCCTGCTACCCATTCCAGTGGGAAGCCCCTCTAGGGAGTATGCTCAACTGTGGATTCATCCAAGTGCAGAGTCTGGTTACTAGGACCTCCCACTCTGACCTCAAAGTGTTGACCCAGGGGAGCTGAGCAGCTCTGCAGCAGGCATTGGGCTAGTCTGCCTCCCAGGAACATGTGGTGCTGATGGGCAGGGCAGGTGGCACTGTTAAAAGGCCCCTGGTATGAGGGGGACCCTGGAGGTACAGTTAAACACTTGGGTGCTAACTGAAACGTTGTGTCTCAAACTCACCAACAGCTCTTCAGAAGAAAGGTGTAGTAATGAGCTTCCATAAAGATTATGGAAACGCTATGAGGCAGTTCGAATCTGTCCTATAGAGTTGCTATGAGTGGGAATCGGCTTGATGGCAGTGAATTTGGTTTTATTTTGGCGTGAGGGGGTCTGTATCTCAACTACTTATTGCTATTGCTTTGGCCATACCCACTGTCAGCGAGTCGATTCTGACTCATAGCGACCTTAGATGACACAGTAGAACTAACCCATAAGGTTTCAAGACTGTAAATCTTTACTGAGGTAGACAGCCTCATCTTTTTCCCTTGGAGCAGCTAGAGGGTTGAACCACTGACCTTTCAGTTACCCACAATACCACCAGGGCTCCTTTGTTTTAGCTATGTTGTTGTTGTTACATGCTGTTTAGTTGCCTCTAACTCATAGCGGCCTTGTACACGGTTTCTGAGGAGCGGCTGGTGAGTTTGAACTGCTGACCTTGAGGTTCAAACCAACCTAACGGTCCAGTGCTCATCCTACAGTATCACACCACAGAAGAATGGATATTCCACAAGCATTTACTGAAAACATCCGCCTCATTCCAGGCTCTGTGGCAAATGTGGGGACAAGAAGATGAGTGAGACATAGCTCTTTAGAAACGAAGTCTACTTGGAGAGACAAAGATGTTGTTGTTGTCAAAGTGTTGTCAAGTTGGCTCTGACTCCCGTGACCCTGTATAATGGAGTTTCTGAGGAGGAGCTAGTGGGTTTGAACTGCCAACCTTGTGGTTTGAAATGACCTAGAGGTGGAGTGCTTATCCTATGGTGCCTCATCAGGACTACTGAAGTTGTTGAGTGCCTTCGAGTCCGTTCCCACTCATAACGATCCTCCGTTGGGTTTCCAAGGAGCAGTTGGTGGGTTTGAACTGGCAACCTTGTGGTTTGCAGTCCAGTGCTTATCCTATAGCACCACACCAGCACTCCAGATTTTTTTTAAAAGAAATTGTGTCCAGGTAGAGAAATGAGGGTGAGAGGGGCAGAATAGAATGGCACAGCTGTTCTGATCATGGCAAAACTGAATCGAAAGGATATTGGAATAGCAGCTTCAACAAGAGTTTAGGTTAAAGACTGTCAGCCATCTTTACCTGAAAGGACGAGGCTGAGAGTAATGGGCAGTCCACACCAGGAGCAGAGACACTGACCACTGAGCCTCTGTAAGTGTCAGACTTGTGGTAGGAACATTCTAGACATAACTTCCTGTGCACCTTATGACAAGATGTGAGCATGGTGTTATCACCCTTATTTTATAGTAAAATGGGGCTCAGAGAGGTGAAGTGACTTGTCCTAGGTCACACAGCTAGCAGGTGGGAAGCAGTTTCATTCACCTGGCACCTCTTCAGTACCTCTGACTTCTCCTCAGCAACCTGGGACTCCAAATGAGACCAGGATACTCTTGCAACTCAAAAAAGGCAGGTTTTCAACGAATAAAGGTAGTTTCAACATGCCACTGAGAACTCAGGCCTTGGCTGCCCTGGGAATCAACCCAGGATTCCTTTGAACAGTGGGCAGTTCCTGGACAGTCTCCCTTCTCCCAATGTTAGTTTTTCTGGGGATACGGGAGTTTGCACAGGTTTATATGCCTGCTGGGTTAAGGAATCAGGGGCCAATTCAGTGGTTGGACTCTTGGAAATCAATGGCACACCAGTGGCATCTCTCGATCATCGATAGGCTGACCAAGGGTCTGACTCATCTGGTGGGGGCCCCTCATGCTCTCCAGCTTAGGTGTCTGGAGTTGTGCTAAATCCCGTAGCTAAAGTAGAGAGGGCAAAAGGGACCCTGGGGACCCAGAGCCCAGGTCATCTCCCCTGAGTGACTTGCTTTGTCTTGGAGCAGATCTTGTTCCAGAAGTGAGATGGGATGAAAAAAGCAAGTAAGCAGTCCTCAGAAAACTGCCCTACTTTCCCACTGTCATCCATGCAGAGCTGGGTTGGCCCAGGGCAGGACTCAGCTACCGCAATGTCCAGTTCTAAATGACTCCCAGTGGTGGCCAGGCACCAGACACCCTATCCTTTCCTTAGTTTAGGCTGGGAGTAAGGGGAGAGGAATTGTCTCTTTGAAACTACTTCTTGGAGCTTGAAAGCAGACGGACTGTCTGCTGGGCCCGGACTCACCTGAGTCTCCTTCAGGTCACCAGTTCTCAGTCTTCCAGATCACTTCTCTCCCACTTTCCCCTTGCCCCTAATAAACCAGTGAACAGACTTCTCCCAGTAAGTAGGTTACAGCATAGTCCAGGGTGAATGAACATGAGAATCAGAGGCCAGAACGACTTCTCTGCACACACACACACACACACACACCCCGGGTGGCCATCCAACTGCCTGGACATTTTAAGGGTTTGCCCACCCTCTCCACGTACCCTCTGGCTTTGGGTGAGAAGTGAGGTGCAGCTTGGTAGCAGGAAGGTGCACTGGAGCATAAAGTTTCAATATTGCCACAATCCCCAGAGCAGCCTGCAAGGCAGACCCCAGGAAGGGATATAGTGACCCCATTGCCATTTAAAGAATTTCTGGTCCATGGTTCAAACCCACCAGCCGATCTATGGGAGAAAGATGAGGCTAGCTACTCTTGTAAAGATTTGCAGTCTCAGAAACCCTAAGAAAAGGAGCTCTGGTAGCGTAGTGGTTAAAAGTCAGGCTACAAACCACAAGGTCAGCAGTTAGAAACTACCAGCTGTTCCGCAGGAGAAAGACGAGGTTTTCTGCTCCTGTAAAGATTTACAGCCTCAGAAACTCTGTACAGGGTCGCTATGAGTCGGAACCGACTCCATAACACATAACAACAACAACAAACCTTCAAAAACAGTTCTGCTCTGTCGTATTGATTCAATGACAGTAGTTTTGGGTTGGTTAGTGCCATGGGGTCGATTTTGACTCACAGTGCCTCCTAGAGTTTCCAAATCTGTAGCCAGAGGTTAAGCAGCTGCTAACTGAAAAGTCGGAGGCTCCAACTCAAAGATCTGGGTGTGTACTATCATAAAGATGTGCCACTTTGCTTCCTGTCCTTTTAAGGTTCATTATAAGTTGGAATCGACTCTACCGGCTATGAGTTTGATTTTTTATTTTATTTAAAAAAAATCTTTAAGGGAAGAGACTGCCACATGTTTCTGTCCGCAGAGCAGCTGGTGGATTCCAACCATGGAGCTTCCCGCTGGTGGAGCATTTAACCAATTGGGATCCAGGTCCTAGAAAACTAGGCGCCACCCCTGCCCAGGCCACTAAGTAAACATTCCCTCCCTCTCGGAGTCAGAAGAGGTGTTGGGGGTGGGGGAAGGGACCAGCCTGAGCTTTACTGCTTGGGCAACTGTGGTGATTCACTCAGTTAAGACTCCTGGTTGTCAAGGATCGAGGCACTCAAACAAACAGCTCCGAAGGTATCCCTTTCCATTCCCTGTGCTCACCTTCTACCCACCTTGCTAGACCCTAACTGGTGACCAGCTGCCTCCCCTCCCGCCACGAGCAAACACACTCCATTGCCTCTGCACCACCCCAACCGGCTGGCTCCGACCACGCGCTGCTGGCGATTCCCCAGGCAACTCACGAGGCCCCGCACCCTGGAGACCCGCACCGTGCCCTCTCTGCGTCCCTAGAGCCCTGGTCATGCTCAACAACCGCTCCCTGCTCCGTGCGTCGCGGCCCCTTTGGGGCTCACGTGCTCGCTAGTTAGGCCCCACTGTGCCCCTGGGCTGCGTAGCCCACACCCAGCGGAGCCCGCTGCCCAGGGGGAAGGCGATCGGAATATCTCATGTTGTTTACTATGCTGGCGAGGTCCCAGCTTGGCCTCGCTTCCTTATTTCCGTGCTTCTCTTTCTGTGGATTCCTGGAGCCGGAGGGGAAAGGGTGGCTGCCACCCGCTGATCCGTCCCGCTACCCCAAGCGGGGGTGGGGTGCGCAGAGCCGAGCGGGGGTGGGGTGCCTGAATCCTAACTCATGGAAAAGTTCATCAGCCACGGGAGGGGGAAGACTGGAATGTAGATCGCGGGGCCGTGTTCCACACCGTACCTCAGGGAACAAGACCCGGAAGGCTAATTAGGACAAGTCGGAACAGGGAACCGGGACGCGGGGAGGGGAGCGCACTCCGAGCCGGACCGAGTTTAGAGCTGTCTCAGGAAACCCGGTGTGGGCTAGTCAGACCTGCGCGACCTTTGCCAGGTGGCTCTAGGTTCGGTCCACAGCGTTAGGGGCGCGCGTAGTGTAATTCCCACGCACACTCAGTGGTTGGGTTCTGGGGGGCACTGCGCCTGCAAGAGGCGGACTTTGGGTGTGTTCACGTGTGCAGTCCCCGGGAGGAAATGGGGGCACAGGAGGTGTGACAAAGAAGAACTTTGTGTCCGAATGTGCGCTTGGCTCAGTCGGGAGCAGTGAACTGTGCCCAGCGGGTGTCGTTCACGGGAGAGCACTGACGACTGGGTGTCCGCTGTGGAAACACCAAAATCGCAGCCGCGTGGGTTTGCGCGCGTGCGCTGGAAGGCTGCGGGAAGGGAAAGCCTGTCCGAGGGGCGTGCTGAGCTGCACCCTAAACCGCTTTCCTGAGAAAGCAGAGTCCAGAAAGTGAGTGAGCGTGAGTACACGCTCGCCTACGTGTGGGGGCGTGGCAGTAAACACAACAACCCACCTACAAGCTCTGCGAGCAACTCCGAGCTCCCTCCCTGGCCAGAAAGAGAACCTCGGCCCGGCCTGGCAGTGAGTCCCAGTGGGAGGGCGGGCGGGCTTTGTTACTTTGTAAACCGATTGCACATACCTGGAGCGCCACGAGCGCTGATTAGCGCCCTGGATGGAGGTGATGTCACGGTGATGCAGGCATTGGCCCACCCCCGGCAGAGAGAAAGGGGCCGAGCGCAGGGGAGAGGCCGGGCACTAGGGCCAGCGAACGTGCAGGCGTCTCTGCCGGGTTCCAGGGAGCTGCAGGCCCTGCGTCCCGATCCCCTGCTTGGGCCCCGCCACCAGAAGACAGTGCTAGGCCCTGGCCCAGCGCCGAGTCCCTCCCACCCCTGCACGCGCCCCGCCTGGGGCTGGAGTTGGCCCCATCGCCGCGCCGGAGCCGGGCCGGTGGCGTGTCCCAGGTGAGGGCTGCTTTCTGCTCCTCCCTCTCCTCGGCCGCGGGAAGACTCTGGTCGGGCGGGTGGGGAGTGGGCGAAGGTAAAGGGCCAGGGATGGGATGGAGATCGGAGCTGGACTGTTGGAGATGCCGCGCCAACTCCGTTGGGTCTCAGAAAGTTTCCAAGCTGAGCTGACTGGGGAGTTGGGGGTAGGGGGCTTCAGTCCCGTCGCTTAAGTGCCGAGTTGGGGGCAGAGAAAGGATTCCATTATCGGGTCTCCCAGAGCCCCCTCCACCCCGTCTTTCTCTCCAGGCGGGTCCCACCGTCGGTGGACCCGCTTCCTCTTCGCTGCCCGCTGCCGTGGCAGGGAGGGTAAGCTTCTGTGGCCGGAGGAAGTGGAGGGCAGAGAGTGCCCGGCTCGGCTGTTCTTTCGGTTCAGCGCCCCAGGCAGCGTACTCGGGTCTAGACTTCAAGTAGAGCGAGAGAGGAGTGAGATGCGGGGTAATTCTTGGTGCGGGAAAGTTTGGAATCTCAGATGATCAAAGCGCCTCTACGCGGCAGCCTGGCCTCTAGATTCCTTCCCCGACCCCCTTTTCAGAGTCTTATTTCGGGCCGTTGGGGCCGGGCAGCGCCCCTCCACTTCTAGGCCTACAGTTTTCCACCCGGGAAAACCTACTTTACAAACCTGAGGATCTTGATCCTAAAGCGCACAAACCAGAATATTTTGAAATAATTTTGTGCTCCTGGGGGGAGGGGGGAAGAGGACTGTTGGGGGAGGGGCACATTCCAGAGCAGACCTTAGGGTTGAGGATGCCCTCGGTCTCCCGGCTGAGATTCTAGGACCCCACCTCCACCTTCCAGTGGGTACTGAGGTAGCTCTTGCCAGACTCACGCATGCCAGGTGCCCCCTTTTACTGCCTGGTTAACGTCAGAGCTCTCTGGACATACCAGAGACAGCTGGGCGGGAGAGAAAAGGGGAATTGGTGATGTCGTCTCTGCTAAGTTGCCCAGGGGCAGTCAGTATGGGGTCAGTAGGGATGGGGGGAGGGTACTTCTGCTATTCCTAGGTGGACTGTGGGCTTGCTAAATGGTCTCCAGTTCAAGGAAATTACAGGGGAGAGTCATAATCTTTCTCTCCAACCTCTTGCCTGGGAGACAGACCAGGGGCTGACTTCTAGGGCCGAGTCCTAGGCCAGGGGAGGAGAGGATAATGGTGGGGGAGGGGAGTTATGTTCTCTAGCTGCTAAGTGGATGATGGGGGCTCAGGAAGGGTGTACTCCAGACACCATACCTGTCATCTGGGCATAGCTTGTCAGAACAGGCTGGGCCTCTAGTCCACTGATACTGCTGAGGTCTCTTACCCCCTGGAGAGGTGGAGAGGGAGGAGGGGGATTCCGTCACTGGATTGGGCTGCCTCAGACCAGAGCTGGGGGTGGGGTAGCTGAACCTAGGGTAAGGCCGATTTCAGAGGTGATTTCAAGTATGTGTGTTGGACTGATTGCAGGGAGGTGAAGCAAAGGGGCCTTGTTGTCCAGAAAATAATTTGAGGCTGGGACCAGGCCTGGGTCATGGGGTGACCACGGGGTGACCCCTCCTGAGGCAGAGGCTGAGACTTCAGAATAGAAGAGGCAGCATTGGATCAGGGACAGGTGGGCGGTGCATGTGTTCAGAGAATGATTTTCAAATGCACATTGTGTTCAAGGCAAAGTGCCAGGTGTCGCGGGGGACGTTAAGATAAACGCGCCCCAAACTTCCCAGCCTGGTAGCCTCCTTCTTAACCGTCCCGGTTCAGGAGGCCCCTTTCCCTGAGAAGTGCAGGCTGGGACCCAGAAGGGAGAGGGTCCTTCCAGGGCTTGAGGAAGAATCTCTGGACAGAGCTGGGTCCACCTTGTCCCAGTCCTTTCCTCCTTGTTGGGTGCCATGGAATCAGTTCCGATTCATAGCAACTCCATGTATAGGGTAGAACTGCCCTATCGGGTTTCCTTGTAATCTTTACTATGGAAGCAGCTCACCAGCTCATCAGGTCTTTTTCCTGTGGAGCCACTAAATGGTTAAGCAGAGTGTTTAACCATCGCCCTTCCAAGACTCTTTAGTTGGCTGGCCAGAGCTGAACAGAACACTCGAACCTCCCTCCTTTAAACCCTCTCACTGGTTATGAATTGGGCTGCTAACCTCAAGGTCAGCAGTTCGAAATTACCAGCTGTTCTGTGGGAGAAAGATGAGGCGCTCTGCTCCCGTCAAGATTCACAGTCTCAGAAACCCTGTACAGGGTCACTATGAGTCAGAACCGACTCTATGGCACACCACCACCACCACCACCTACCTCTAAGGGCTCCTGTCTGAAGCAGTGGACGAGAGCCATGTCCAAATGACTCATTCTCCCCACCTGAGTATCCCTGTCTCCCCACCTACCCCTCCACTTTTCTGGGAACCAGAGAAATGAGACATTTCAGGCTGGGAATGGATTGTTTCATCTGAGACTAGTAAATTTCAGGGCAACTGGAGAGCAGAGAGACCTGGGCCTTCCTTGAAGGTCTCACTTTGACAAGGGTCTGGAGGGAAGAGTCTAGACGTGAAGGGTAAGGAGAAGTGGTTGGTGGACCAATGGTAAAGTCAGGAGGAAGTGGGTGTGGGTGTGTGTGTGTGAAAGCTGCAAGTTTCCATGGCCTGATTCAAGTACTGTGAATGCTGAGGAGACACACAGGATATAAAAAACCCCCAGTAATTGTTGATTTGATTCTGCTTCATGGCAACCCCATGTATTTCAGAGTAGGAGTGTGTGCCCTCAATAGTTTGCAATGCTGTGATCTTTTGGAGGTAGATCACCAGGCCTTTCTTCCTCCAGGCACTTTGGGGTAGATTTGAACCTATAACCTTTTGGTTAGTAGCTAAATTCTTAACCTTTTACACCATCTAGGGACTGGTAAGTGCTTCTAGGTCAAGATCAAGTAAGACGAATAACAGTTCTCAAGATTAAACTGGACCTGGTCTGTTTTTTTTTTTTTGTAATGATATGGCTGCTATCAGAGTCGAACTCGTAGCTGTAACATTCTTTATCCCTACTTCGATGAGTCTTTAGATTTTAGTTTGGAAAGGATTTCTCAGATCTGGCCACTATGACTTTACTTTTGGCCTTGATCTTTAAACCAGAGTGGATGTGTCCCCAAACAATCGATTGTCAGTGCTTTATGCCAGACTCACCTCCTAAAAGCATAGGCTCACTGTGCTAAAATCAGACCTCCTTAGCTCCCCACTGTCTGAGAAGAACACCCCAAACTCCTATAGCATTTCTCCTCTGCCACCAACCACTGCAACCTCTCTTTACAAATGAACTAATGAACTTGATTTTTTTCTCTTGCTCTGAACTTGGGTTCTCCATCATTCTTTTATGTAGGCCTTTTTTTCTGCTGCTTCTCTTACCTTCTATCTCCTTGGCCCCCTTCCCCTCTGCGCCTGTTTGATCCCTACCTCACATTTTTTTGTGTCTCCGTCTTGTGGCAACGTCTGGGACTCTGGGACGTGGTAAGTTTTTATTAGAGATTGAATAAAATACTGTTGAGCCATTTCCCTCCCTGTGTGGTGCAAGTGGTTAAGTGCTCTGTTACTAACCAAAAGGTTGGCCATAGGA